TATTTTCAGTATCCCAGAACATCAGAGGGACTTGTGAAGGCATTGTTTCTCTGAGTGGAAAACAATTGCTTATCTTTGGACATATCTTAAATCATCTAGTATGCGCCGTCCCATAACAGCTCCTTATTGGTGACTCTACCCGTTGACCTATGACCTGTGTGACCTCTGTGCATGTGTAGCTTTCTTCTACTCCCTTGGTTCTCTGGGGTTTCCTTCAGGCACTCCAATTTGTTCCCTCAGTTAGATGAAGCTGTGTGGATAACTTGCCCAAAATGTTTGATTGTGTGCTGTGAGATCAGCTATCAATCTGTGCAGAGTGCATCCTTCCTTCTACTTTATGCTTCCTGGGGTAGCTGTGACCCTGTACTGGTGGTATAGAAGATTCTTAAATGAGTAACACAAGCCTCATTTGTGGGGGGCTCAAGTATGTTATCCCATAATTGAGCATAATTGGAAACAATGTTAGCAACTTATATAGTTCAACTGAATTATTCCAACTATGTAAGTTGCTAATGAGAGAAAAACATAACCCTGAATAGTTATTGCAAATGCTTTAGTATATCAGTATTTGTACAATAGAGCTGTCATAACTGTCTTTCATGACATGTGGCAGTTCAAGGCACATGATCTGGTTTGAACTCGAGATTGTGCAGTAGCAATCATTTTTTTAAATAAAAGTGCCTACACACCCAATTCACTCTCTCCAATCTATATGACTGCATCCTTCCCATCATCTAACAGGATTTTATAGTGTAAGTGGCGACTGTTAAAACGACATTTCTGCAATATGAGATTGGAATGCTGTTGCATAATTAAGGAAATTAAGGAATTTAAAAAGATTAAAAATTAAAATTAAAATTAAAAAATCTCATGGTTTCCTATATCTTGGTCCCACACAGAGATGTAAAGTTCAGGTACAGACAGTACAAATCCAGACAGTCAATTTGGTCAGATTCAGTCATGTCTGAAGTTAAAAACCTCTATTTCCATTTCTCTAGTCAGACTGATTTGATCTAGCACTCTCTATCTAGCACTCTTATCACTGTAGCGAGACACCATCTGAACATCCAGCTGAAAACAGATTAACAGTAATTTAACTTGCTGAAGATGTTAAAGTATAACTATTTCATTTCAAGTCATTTTATTGTCATTTCATACACATGAAATGAAATTGTGATTCTTCAGAGCATCAGGCAGCTAGAACAACAGACACTGAAGGAAGAAGAAGGACTGGTCTCCACTGATATTACACAGAGTTATGAGGTCAGTGGAAAATGACTAAATCTCTTGAAACTTGATTATAAAAAGCCTCACAGATATTTACATTTGCAAGACCATGAAAATTCAGTTGGTATTTTTTTCACTGCAGTAATGTACATAAACAGAGGAAAGTTAGAAAAATTCTCCCAGTGGAATTAATCATTAGCTGCATTTGTGACTTGTGTCAGGCATGTGCAACACAAAGGCATTATCACCACTTTTCCCAGAATCCACTGCTACACTGATGCTGGAAGCAAGAGCAAAGGTCTTCCACTTTAGTTTTTTAAACCTAATTTGATTTGCTTTCTTTCCACATTTCCTCAAACAACACGGAGCCAACACAGTCTAATCGAGTCAGTGGACTGGATGCGTAATGGGGAGGGGGCATATGGAGAGGTTACTGTGCTTGTTGCTCTTATCTTTGTTCATTCTAGGCCTAAATCTAGGTTTTAATCCAGGACACTCATGATCCCAGACTCCTCGCTCATTCTCACAAAAGCCCAAATCTGAGTCTCCATTGACTCCATGAAGATCACAACATCGTCGGCAAAGTCAAGATCAGTAAAACTTTCTTCCCCAACAAATGCCCCACAGCTGCTGGACCCCATGACCCTGCCCAACACCCAGTCCATACAAGCACTGAACAGAGTAGGAGCAAGAACACACCCCTGGAGAACCCCAGAATCAACTGGGAAGAACACAGAGGTTCTCCCTTCACTCTGCACAGCACTCACAGTACCAGGGTACAGGGTGGCTATGATGTCCAGAAGCTTCGGGGGGAAGTAACCAAACTATAAGTAACCAAACTAGTAAACATTGTGTCCCCACAATGTAATATAAACCTAATCCACACACAGACACACATACACAGAAACAGACACATACATAAAGCCACACATAGACCAACTAGTGCAAGGCATCCACAAACAAATGCATACTCTCAAACCTAGAAATATGTTTTGAGATTTATTGTTTATCGATTAAAGATCCTTTCATTATAGTTAAAAGGAGAAGTTCTTATTTCTGTTTTGAACATTTGGGTTGGATCTTCTTAAACAGATTTTGTTTTACAATTGAACATGTGCATCAGAATGTCCCCATCCAAGCCCAGGCAGCGGTCTTGAAACATTACATGGTAAGACAAGCCTCTATATCTTTACAAGTATTTATCATACCATACATGCCACTCTATTAAGTCCTATTATTCATTAAAGAGGACAGTCAGGGCTTTAATATGACATTACATGTGTGGGGGTGTGACCTCGCCAACAACCTCTTACTGTCAAATCAAATTTTTCAATTAATATTAAAAACTGTTTTCCCTAGATCTATGGAAGATATAAAGAGAAATAATCTATTTCTGATAAATTCTATTTGGCTATTTTCCAGAAACAAATTTTAAAAAGCAAATCCTGGTCATTCTAAAGGATTTTTTAAATGTCAGCAATAATGACACATTAACCTGAAAGCACAATAGACAGTCATAGAATGGTGGTTTGATTAGTGATAACATGCTAGTCTGGCACTTACACGATTGGGTACCTTTCAGGTATATTTATTAGCTGGTGAGGTGGAAAACAAAGGTGATGCTCTCCTTTCCTAGTTTTGAATATAGTCCTTTGACAATGCAAATCCATTCCACCCCAGTTAGGTCCTTTTGGCAACCACATTCAGAAGGCTCCACCCACTGGTAAGAAATTAAAAGAATGAAAACCATGAGTGATTCACTACATTGGCATTTAGAACATGACTGTGGCACACTAACCTCACTATGCTGTCTGGGAGAGCAACTGTCTTGTGATAAGGATGTTTGGAGGAGTCAGGTCAAGAGAGATAACTGAAACTGAAAGACCATCGGATCCTAATCAGATGTAATCTTCATGTACCCAAATCTGTGTTGTACTCTGATAAGCTCATCTACTTTGCTGAATAAATCACACTCAGCTATGGTTCATGTTTGTCTTAAACTATATTAATATCAGCAGTGATGTTTCATCTAATGTTTCTGTACGAATAATCCAAAAAAGAACATCATAAAAACAGACCATCCATTACAGAAGTGTGATATTTTCACATTTTTATGTGCTAGTCCATTTTTTCTGTTGAGAAGCCAAATACGCCAACATGACAAGACATGACTGGAACAATTCATTGAAAGGAATGAGGAAGAGTGAGTTTATGAAAATGCTTCAGGAAGAATCCTTTTGAAATCCTGTAATATTAATCCGGCTGCCTACCTTTCTTTATTCTGTACTAACATCCTAAGATGAGAAGTGCATCAAGGCTTTCTCTATCAAAGATCTGAAATAACTGAGGGAGCATGTTATAATGTGATTCAGGCCAAAGCTACCAAACACTGGTCATTTTCATCCTCAACGCAGGTACTCATTTTGTAAACACCACTAAGAAGTTTTTAACTTCTACTGTATGTCTATCAATTCATCCATATTCCAACCACTCATCTTAAACAAAATGTTGCCTATGCCAGTTAAGAAAAGACAGAAGCCGGGATGCCAGCCCATTGCAGGGCACACTCACGCAAATACACAAACAGTCAAACAGTATGGGCAATTTAGAGACGCCAGTTAGCCTAATTGTGTGTCTTTGGACTGTCGGAATAAATTTATTGAACATGAGGAGAACATGCAAACTCCATCCATGCAGAGGAGAAGGAATCAATCCCCCAGTCCAAGAGATGTGACTGAATTCTGGTACCTACTGCTTACCAAATAAGGTAAATATAAAATGCCTTTTAATTTAAGTGAGCTAGAAATGTAAAGTAAATGGGAAAACAGAGAAAATGTGAAACCTTCATATTATGAGGATAAACCTGTTCAGCAGAAGACGGTAGTAGGTCACGTGATTTTTTGTAACTGTTGAGGGATACTCAACCACGTTATATGTATTATCCCAGATAATCATCCATGGGTATGAGTGGCTGAGTTCTGGGCAGCTGACCCCAACAACAGAAGTTATGTCTTAGTGGTATAGAAGTAAACAAATTAGAGTGAATTAACAGTCATATTCCATGAAAATGGAAAAAAGTGCAACTCGTGTCAAACACCACTTCATCTCCCAGCTGACCTATACACCTGAAATATATATTATTCAGAATGGACACAGTTGTGTGAATATCGTGCAAAATAGAAATGTATTTCTGTATCGATTATTAATGTTATTAGCATGTTTTGTGCAAGGTGGACACATTCTCTCCATGACTGTTCAGACTCCGCGGCACGTTACATATGCTTGTCTTTGCCGCAACGTACCTGCATTATAGCAAATGAGCGTAGCTCGTATTATTCTCAATAAACTCGGTAATGAGAATATGTATGAGAGGTCTTTCTAGCGAGAACAAAACACGGTTAGTCGAAGCCATACACACGAATGAAACAGCAATTAATTAACAGTTGTAACGTTATAACCAGCAGCCGCATATTTGGAATACGTTTAAGGGCGAAGGCTAAATTGCTGTCTGAGTAATAGTTCCAAATACTTAAATTCAGTTGAATTCGTAATTAAGGATTATAACTATGACAGCTCACTACACGGGACGAACCCCGCCTGACGTAGGTGTTTTCACAGGCTACGACCCAACGCATTTCGTAACAAGGACTACTTAGCCTTCTGATGCAATCGGAGGCGGAGGGATACAGCCCAGTAGTAGGCCGGGCGCAGTTTGTCTTGTTGCCTAGAGACGACTCGGGGGGAGGCGGGAATAAGAGCTTTGGCTGAGAAACTGGCCCGCTCTGTTTGTCATGTTGGTTCAGGCGGAAGCGGGATCCTGGAAGGGAGCGCGCATCTGCGACAGAGCCGGAATGTCGTCAGATTCGCGCAGCGCCGTGTAAACGTAAAGCCGAAAGCAGGGCTAACGTGCGCTGCCGGCTGGCGTCCATGAAACGTGACGCTACTGCGGCGGATTCCGGAGCTCGAGCTGGGAGAGAAGCTGCTGCTCCTCTTCGTCTTCTTCACTTTGAGTAACGGCAGGTAAGCGAAGCGTTTATTTGTGGGATTTGTGCTACCGCCGTGGATTTTGACACCCACGATAGTTAGGAATGTTACTGCTATGCCTGGTGGAATTTAAAAGCTGAAGTTAGTGGCGCATGTTTTTTATTATTTGAGAACCGTCTCAGGTCCCGACTGGGTCAGTCAGCCGCTCCTCCTCCTCCTCCTCCCCCTCCTCCTCGTCCTAGCACCCTCGCTTCACAACACCATTTTTTAGAAGTGGCCCTCTTGCCTGAAATTAGTGCGGAATTATTTTTGTCGTGTATACTTAGCAGAGAACGACTTGGTGGGTCGTATTGTTGGAGGTTTAGGCGGTTGTAATTCAATGGCGTACATTTGGACCGGCGCTCCGAACCGCGCACGGCCGGCGGTCACCTGCCCACACGCTGACAATGACATTCAGCCGTAAATTACACTCGTCGGCCCTACGAAACGCATGATGGCCGTGTCATTTTAGCAGCCCGTCTAACAATACACCGGTTTGACGAGTTATTTTCCTGAACCTTTTGCCTTTGAAAGCTAGTATGTAAATTAGCTCGTAGAAGCACCCCCCAAATGTCAAATCCGCACTATGGGTTTCGCTTTTTAGTGTTTCTCCGGGATAACCACTGAGCTACGTTTTACAGCACCGATCCGTGTTTATTGAAGTGCCCGCTAGTCGCGCTGTTTATTTTTGCCCCGTTTTATTACATTTTGTCAGGTGCCCGTTTCTTTTTCTTTTTTTTTATTAATGATAATAATAATAATAATAAAGCTCTGTGCGTTAACGGTGGAAATATGGATAGACATTTTCAGATGTGCGGGGTTTACGACCAGCTGGCTGGCTAATTTGGCGGTACTGTCAAGAAATGAGGAACACCGTAGAGCTAGCTGCATGTATATTATTACTGTTATGTAATGGTGGATTCTTATCTCTCCTGGTTAAGACATGTAGTATTGGCAAGTACGGGTCGAATTAAAAACAGTTTTAACTGGCAATTTTCACATTTCAGTTTGAATTAACCTATGCTGAAGTAGTTATCATGCAAGAGGGTAACAGATATGTCAGTGGCCATACCTCGGGCCTAAGAGGACAAACATTTTAGTTATGCTGTGTCTGTTATTTGCTTTTTAGTTTTTTCCATTTCGCGGATGGTTTCTGTAATTCGCAGGGAGGTTCGCTTATTTGACAGATTAAGATATTTGGCACGGTGGCCTTTAAGCCACTTATCTTGCCCTTTTGATGCCGCCGTAGGGCTGACCCATGACATGCCTGTGTCGCTGAGTGACAGGCGCTTCAGCCAATCACGCCACCGCAGCTACCATTTGCTCTTCTCGTTATTTCTATAATCCGGCGTCAGGCGAGAGAGGAGGCTGGGTGTGGGTTTGTGTGCTCGCTGTTGTGCCAAACAAATGGTCTTGACAGCGACCGTGCCTTGCCTGTCAAACGGCCCGTGTTGAAACTTCCTGTGTCCTATGGGTTATCTGGGAAACACTGGACATTTTAAAGCCAGAGTAACGTCGCTTTCATAACTGCCGCATCGGATTACATTCCAATCGGTGATCCAGCATTCCTGGAGTTTTACTAGCAGATTATATGAACTTGTTGCAATGAAAACGACGTAAATGATTAGGGTGTGTGTAACTTTTGGTATAACTACTGGATGTTACTGGAATTGCACCAATTATAACCTAGTATAATGAAGAAAATGCAAGATTTAACAACCATCTCTATGACTGAATGTACAGGTCCAGTTTAATTTCTGACCATGGGTCTCATGTAGTAAGTTTTCATTCACTTAACATATATCTGTTTTTGATTCACACAGAATAAGTGGCCTCCTGTGAGGAACTAGTATCTGTCTTGTATTCACGCTTTTTGGGATGGATACATGCTATCTGTATATGCTGAGAATGATTGCCCTGTTGCATTAATACACACATGCTTGTTGAGAGACTTTTTGTGAGGTACAAGTAGCTGTTGGGAAGATAGAACTGGACGCTGTACACAATTGTTACTCCCAAGAATTTGCTTCCTCCTGTTGACTGTAGTGCAGTAAGGTAAGGGAACATGCAAATAAAAAAGCCTGTGTAATTTCTCATGTGCTGAGCCTTTTCTTTGGGGCCTGGCTTTCCAGTCCTGATCTGTATATCCCCAGAGCTCTACCTGACTCTGTGTTGACTCTCTCAGGAGCTCATTAACTGTATTTCTTGTCATTAAAATCCAGCCGAGGAGGACCTTTAGAGATACACTGAGGCCTGTTGTCAAGAATATAGTGTTCAATAGCTACTGCAGAGTACTCTCAGTTCTTCATTAATTTCTGAACAATAAAAAATATTTAGTGCAGCAGTTTCTTTCTGATATCTACCTGAAGTTAGCTGATATAACATATAAGACATTAGCTGGTTCATATAAGCAAAACATTATAAGCAAGACTTCCAAGAGATGCTTCAGTTATTATTTTGAGCTGGTCCTTAAGTTCATTTTCACTAGATTTGTCTGTTTTTTGTGCACTTTGTGAACTTATACTGTGTTAGCTTGTGGAGGTTGAATGGATAAGTAAATGGAATTTTAGGTGCATTGCAAATATTATGCATGTCTTTCCAAAGTTATTTTAATGTTGCAAATTGTCTTTGAAGAGAGAAATAAAAACAAGTATTCTGATTTCAGTATCAACAATTAATGCATTTGTATAATGCAGATTCTTCTGATTTGTGGTTTTATATATATTATTTATACATTATATAAATATTATAAAGATGTTGTCCCAAATTTGTCCTGAATTGTGCAGAAATGCTGGTGATAAGTACACTGTCACATACTGTTCACACACACTCTAAAGTGAACCATCATTATAATTTGGCTTTTGTTTTTCTTTTATATTCACCGTTACTATTCCAGTACGAGAGACAATTGGGCAGAAATCATGTTTTATGAACTATTGTGTGATTTATTTGTATATATGTTTTGCTGCACTAAAATTCACCTCTGAATTAAACCTATTGACACTGCTTCATTATGATTTTAGTAGGGCTAGTATTACTGATGTCGTTGTGTATGAGAGTTTAGTATAGTTATTAATGATTTTTATAAAACAAAAACAATTTTGAGGTTTTAAAACTTGTTGGCTGTGGAAAAAAAAAAGTTGAATTTGAATTTCATGTCAAGGGTAGGTTATATCCATCCAGCATCCCATGTGAAAATGGAAGAAACAGTGAGAAGCTTAGATTGAGTCTTAGGGTGTACTCGTACTAGTCATTTCGTACCATGCCTGATCAGGTTTGACCCCCAAAATCCAGTTCGTTTGACTAATGTGATCGCTATCTGAGAGTGATTCCCCTCGGTACGTTCATGTATATTGTATATGTGCCCAAGAATGGGGCACAGACGTAACGTCAGTGATTCAACTGACTCAAGCATGCGCACGTATACACTATACATGAACTGGACCCAAAAGAAAAAGATCAGGTAGGCTGTACAGATCTCATCATTTTTTTGATGGATAAGTGCCCATAAAGGTTACACCAGTTTATTCTGCTTTTTTCCATTCATCTGCTCAGTAAACAAAAAAAACTTCCTGTGCAGTGCATCATGCTTGATTATCTAACTGCTATAAATACGTGGCGTAATAACCTGTAGGTGCAGATGCTAGTTTGATGATGTTAATGTGGCCTGTTTGCTACAATATAAGATCCCTTATATAAATCACTTACTTGAAGTTAGGGAAATCATATTTAATGATGGGCAATTAAGCAATTAATTATCTTCCAGAAAATCACATTGACCGTTTAATTCAAATTACAGTTTGTTGTCAAAATAAAATTGTCATTGCAGTGCTTTAGACTGGCTTCTCGGCCTTATGTGGACATTATTTTTGGCCACAATTCGATAAGCAGATTAGTAGTATAGTAAAATCCCATTATAGTGGACTCTCTTATAATGAAATATCGTCTATAACGGACGAGGTCCCCTGGTCCCGGCCGTGCACCTTTAAGAACATGCAGAAAAAGCATCGGATATAGTGGACTCGCATATAACGGAATTTTGCTTATGACAGACAAACAATCTGGTCCCCGTGGCCACTTTTGCTGTATGCATGCAAGCTCCACCTGCAAGGCGTGTGGCGTGCCGGTGATATCCAGCGCAGATACGTAGTCGGGATTATTAATAGTCACGCATCCCGTCAGGTGAAGTTGGATTACTACATATACAATATAATAATCTATACCACAAGTGTGTCTGCTGGGGTGTGGCATGAGTAAATGGTGTCCTGTAGTTGCAACTCTGGATATAATGGACTGTTTTGCCTGGACCCTTGAAGTCCGTTATAACTGGATTTTACTGTATGCCTAAAATATTAATATTAATACTGTAGTTAAATTAGTTAAAAAGATGGTGGTGGCATGGTGGCGCTTTTTGCAGAGCAACACTGGTCTTAACAAGCCCAGTACATGCAAACACACACACCAGCACCGTCAGTCAATGCAGAATAAATCCTAATTTTACCATAAACAATTCATAAACACTCATTTATTGGGCATTCTAAGATAGCAGACAGACAACTTTATGGCTTTAATAATGAGTTTATTTAGCAGCTAAAAGGGGAAAAGATATTTAAAAAGCTTTTCATACTAATGTAAATGTAATAAACATGAATAGACGACACATGCAGTAGTTTTGCCTATCCTGACAGCCCATCATCCAGATTAGCGCCTGTGTGTTCTCTTGTGCATAGTACTTGTGCCACTGTGGTATGCCATTGAACTTAGCACAGTACATAAACCCCCTTTTTGTTTTGTGATAATCTGAACTAGTCCCATAATTATTAGAGATGGGCGATCCACGTTTTTTCAGTTCCGATCCGATTCCGATACACAACTGCCGATACCGATACAGATTCCGATACAAGAGCTCTTTTTACTTTGTTATACTTTATATTATTTTTTTTAAGCTAGTAAATACAGATGGAAAAAATGTATGACAAAAAATATTTAATTAGGCTACTACAAACATACATAACGTACTGTTCCACCTCATTTGTTTTAAGCATTTTTGAGGCATTTGCAGTTCAATATGAATATCTTCAAAGCAAATATACACAAGTGGCGAATACTTAAAATTTTAAGTTTTTCTCCCATTGGCATCAGCGCACTTACACTTTTGTTGCGATGGCAGCCCCTCTTGTATCACAAGCAACGAGTTCGCAAAACAGTCCAATTAAGTTAGCGACTCCCAAATCATCCATTGCTTTGTTTTGTCTCGCAGTTGCGTGCGCTTTGTTAAATGGGATTTTCCATTAAACGCTATTCCCACCTCAAAACCTTATTTTACATAGATTGCAAAACGCTGTGCTTCCGGTTTCTGTTAAAAGCCTAAAATACTCCCAGATCGTCACGTCTTATCTTACGCTCCTCGTACTGCGAAGGGTATGCGCATGACGTCACAGCAGGCGGAAGTCACTGTACTCACACCCACTGAGTAGCAAAAAAGACTTGGGGGCAGTGATAGCGTTCGATTTGAATTCCGCAAAAACACATGTAAAATGGGAAAGAGCTGTCGTGCGATTGATTGCCAAAAACTAAATAAGTAAGTATAGGACGTGGATCGGTCACGCATGGCCGATTCCCGATCCGTCAAATAGGTCTGGATCGGCGCCGATACCGATCCGAATATCGGTATCGGTGCATCTCTAATAATTATGTGCTGATATTGAAGATAAACATTTCTTATAGTGAAGTGTTTTAGAAATCATAAAGGTAATTTCACAAAAATAAAATAAAATAATTATGCTTCGATTTAAAACATTGACTACATCGACTAATTGTGGCAGCTGTACTATATAGCATGGTGTGCGTAATTCTGACATGGGATATAACTGAGTTTAAGCAGTGGTTCAGATCCATTGTTCTGATTCAATAGTTACCGTTACTGATGTTGTTGATGTCTGTAACAGCGTAATCAGTATATCATTGGTGTTCTAAACGGCTTTAAAAATGCGATATGGTACCTTTTCAGTACTAGTATGCTGCACAGCACCAGTCTGCACTACTAATCTCTGAGATACTTGGTAAAATGTGGGACTATCTTCTTATACGTGCAGCATGAATAAATAAAATTGCTGTGTTGCATATATGATAAATCTGTGTCACTGTGTCCAAAACGACTCCAAATGAGCCGTAAAATTAGGATGTTAATGATTAATTCCATTCTGTTGTGCGATACTGCTTACCTTCCTTTATCTTCACCACAAGACAACCGGTCCAAGTGTGATTGCGTCCTTACTAGCTATAGGTGCAAATATGCATTGTGCTGATTCAATATATCGATCTGCAAAGTTGGAATTGATTTTTGGGGATAAAATTTAAGATATTCCTACTTCCAGGTTCCATGCTCTCTAGTGTTCACGTGCTGCAGGTAGATGCACAAAGTAGCAAGTCCTTTAAGAAAGTTTTGTCACAAGTACACGGTGTATACCATGAAATGCATCATTTTTAGCAGTCTATACCGTGCAAATACGATTTACAAAATTGCCGGCATATGAATTTCTGGAATGTAGAATGGGAGTGGATGGTTCATTAATATTCATAACGAAAGTGCCACATGATATTTGCCCTATGGTGGTGATCTTTGTGCTACAATGCTTTTGAGAAAATCTCCTCTTATTGGTTAACATACTGGTATCACTGATATTAATTAGTCTAGATATTAGTCCAGTTTGTCAATCTTGGCTGATTTCACTGGGCGATATTTAAACTTCTTCAATATTTGAAATTAGCAGCACCAGAGTGAAAGACACAAATACTAAAATAATAGAGAGAACTGCATTGGATGATCAGTCAGTTTCCATAGTGGGGGATCAAGGATTTTTATTTCAGTTCATTCACCACTTAGAAGTCATCTTAAAGTACAAGCCTGCAACATGTTTGTAATTTACTAAATCTGGCCCGCAAATCGATCTTTTGCTTCCCACAGAATAAACAATGTAATATCATTCTGCTAATCTGCGCCAGCAAACTTGCCAAGTATTGCCGCCGTCAAATTTAATTTTAATGATCGTTCCTTTTCAACATTATCTAGTATGTGTTAAAGTGCACTACCGCTGCTTTTACATGAGCTCTGCATGCGCTCTCCAAGACCTTAATTTAATTAAGATCTTAACCATATACTTGTTGGACTCAGTCAGAATGCATATGGCATGTTGTGAGAAATTAAACAAAAATGAGTGAAGAGGAGAAACCTGAACAAGAACTGGTCAAGAAAAGACATTGATCTTTCACTGTATGGAAATATTTAGAATTCCATAAGCATGATATTGAGCAAAAATAAGTAATTTGTTGGCACTGCTTATTGTCTGTTGGCACTCACAGCAACATCACTAACTTGGTTGACAGATTCCATCTCCTAAATATTGCAAAAACTTAATTTTAGAATGTAAACTTTTTCCAGTATCATTCTGCTCCAGTCAAAACACACAATACATTCAGAAAAAAAATTGTATGGTTATTATGTACCATATTATGTAAGATGATGTGGCTAAGCAATGGAGCTAACCCTGGAATTGTAGAAAGTAAATAAAGCAAAGAAAGTTAAATCAAAGTGATGACAGACAAGCTAGGCTACTGCAAGTGTCTAAATGGCACATATCTATAGCCACTGGCTGACCTCTTATTGGGTGAGTCTGTCAAGCCTGAATGTCTCCTTTTTTGATGTATTTGCATTGCAGTTATGCTATGGTGCTATTTGAGTTCTGCTTTGCAATACTGACAGACGACTGAATTTTCATTTACTTTTAATCTGAAGTGCTTTTACACAAATGATGCCTTCTCTAATATTTGGATATTAGAGAATATCCACTATCCACTGTTGTCTTTCTGCCATATTGCAGAGTAATCAAGAAGGCAATTTTAATCAATACTTTTAAATAATCGTGTAATAGTTTTAATCGACTAATCATGACAGCTGTAGTGCTTCCTATTTTAATAAAAATTTGATTGAAAAAATGAACCATTCTGTCTTTGTATTCTAATAATAGTGTGTAATTAAATTTTCATAGTAGGCCTATTATCAAAATAATTGAAGAATTAATTGATTGAACTTGAATCATGATAAAAAATTATGCATTCAGTGCATTGAATCATTCCTTCATTTGTAATCGACTTGAATCACCTTGGGCAACGACTTATATCCCTACTAGCAACCATACCTTGCTAAACGAAAGCAGGGAATGCTGTTTGGATGGATTTCACTTGCAATGGAAAATAAAATGGCATGGCAGAGCAAACGATACAGATAATCTTGGGAAGAATTGCTTTGAAATGGTGGAAATGAAAGGAGGAAACTGTTTCTGGAAGCATCTATCTGCTACCTGGACCTTGGTCAAGAGCTCAGATGGATTAGCAGAGATATCAGAATTTCCATTCCTTAGTATTGTGATGATGACTTAAACTGATCTAATAAAGTTTGATGTGTCTAACTCAGGGCTGCTGCTAACTGTTTTTGTATCACTTAATTTAGCAGTATTTTCCTTTCATTCTCCTCTTACCTCTCCTTATGGTCTTCTTTGTGTCTTCAGTACAGGCTTTGTGTAACTGGGGTTGCCAAGCACTGCTTTTGGTTGCCAGCACCGTGTTGACACCCATGTGCTCATGCTGCTATGATATATATATACACGTAATGTCTGTTTGAGTGATAGTTAAGTAAATGTAGAGTTTCAGCTGTGATGATGATGTCATGTTTAAAATGTCATGTTTGTATTATTTTGCTGCAAACTAAGTTTCTTTTTTTTTCTCCTCTTTCTCTCTGTTTTTATTCCAGGGAGTGCCGGTGGAGTTGTAGCTCAAAATGGAGCTCTTTGACTGAGAGGCAAACACAGTTTTACTGTTTTGCCACGTAGCTGATAACTTTTTACAGTAACACCATGCCGGAAGACTGAAGTTTATCCTTGCTTACAGCAATAAATAAATAAATAAAAGATCGCTACATGATTCTCCATGTAGTCACCTCTTTGTGCGTCCTGCTGGAGTGAATCTGCATCCAGATAGGCTTGCCCTGTCCTGTGGGCTCACCCCAAAAATGCAGATCCACTTCAGAATGCCTAACACCTAGAGTCCCATGCGTCCAGTCAGTGTGGAGTCGGACGGCTCTGCTCCCGAAAGCAACTTGAGCCCCTTCGCCCCGGGGCCCCTTCCTGCCTCTGAGATGTCACTCCTCCAGTCGCTGGGTCCTGTGCAGAGCTGGCTGGGCCAGGAGCTGGAGAAGTGCGGGATTGATGCTATGATCTACACCCGCTATGTCCTGAGTCTGCTCCTGCATGACAGCTACGACTATGACCTGCAGGACCAGGTAACCACAAATGCCCAGGCTGTATGTGTCTATGTGGCTATCTGCCCCGAACGGTGGGATGATATTATTAGTTGTAGTAGAAGGTTTCATGTTTTTTTTTCTGCCCAAGTGTGTATATATTCTGAGCCTTTCAGACATACCTTGGTTGAATGAAACAGAGGGTCCTTGATGGAAAGGTATGCACTGTGCAGTGGTGATGCTGGCTCACAGTGCAGGGTTTATTAAACTTAGCTCTGCTGATGGGCCAAGTTCACTTAAAAACAAATATATATAAATACAAATATACATGTACGCAAAAGAAGTCACCAGGTTAGACCAGACTTAGCTACTGTAGTCTACAGATATTAATTGTAATGGTTTGTGAACATTACCTGTAGCAGAAGAATTGTGTATTTTTGGAAACATCATTAACTTTTTTGGTTGCACTAGGTGAAGCCCTTTTAAATATTTTTTAGGTTTATGTTAAACTTTAAAATAAATAAACCTCTGGTTTCCCTGATAGGAAAATGACATCTTCTTGGGCTGGGAGAAGGGAACTGGTAAGAAATGGGGAAAGGGCAAGAGGAAAGGAGGGGCAGACCTGAGTGTGGAGGAGCTGAAGAAACAAGCTGCCGTGCAATGCCTGCGTTCTGCGTCTGATGAAGTGAGTGCTCTCTTCCTGTTATGATGACAGTTTGAACATCTGTACACCCCATCCATTGACAGTTGCTGGAGGGGGAGTAGTTTTTGAAAATTTGCCTAAATACATTTGTCACTTTTTGGGGAGTGGCACGGTGGTGCAGTGGTTAGCACTGTTGCCTCACCGCTCTGGGACCTGGGATCGAGTCTGTGCCAGGGTTCCATGTGGAGTTTGCATGTTCTCCCAGGGTTATCATAGGGCTTCTTCTGGGCACTCCAGCCCCTCCTCGTCCAAAAACATGCTGAGGGTAACTGGAGTCACCAAATTGCCCGGAGGTGTGCATGTGTGAGTGAATGGTGTGTGAGTGTATCCTGTGATGGGTTGGTGCTTCCTCCTGGGTTGTACCCTGATTTTGTCTGTAGCCTCCAGGATAGGCTCCAGACCCCTCGCAACACTGAACTGGACAAGTGGTTACAGAAAACGCAAGAATAGATTAGCATTTTTGCTTATTTGGTTTATATGAAATATGCAATGGCACATTTTATGGTTGTGCTACTTTATGGCCACTTTGTTTCCAGGCATGTACTTTACTCTGTGTTGAGTGCAGTAACATGGTGTCTGTGGCATAACTTGAGATTGGTCCTTGTTCAAAACTTTATTAAGGTACTACGAAGTATTATTATATGCTTTCAGATCTTTGGAAAATGAGCGAACCTGTATATTAAATTACTTATGAAATATAGATTGTGAAAAGCGCCTTAGTTCTATGCATTACTGTTGGTTCTGTGTGTGACTGTGTATTTTCTCATGCACTTTATATACCTGTGTCTCGTCATACAGTTGGATATGATATGGTATATCAGGGTCTGTTATGCACAGATGCTGATAAATCGCACGTATGTCCACACATCTGTAATGTGCCCATCATTAAGTTTTACACCTTAAAGGCTATGCTGATCTATCACCCATTCTGTCTGCTTACAGTGCCACAGTGGTAAAGGGTTGTAGTAAGTTGGGGATATTCAGTGCGTACTGCTAGGGCTGGTGGTCATGGAAGGACTGGTCACTGGGTGTCTGGAGTTCCACTCAATGTTGTCTGACCTGCTCCGTGACGCGTGGGGTTCATGCGCTGAGCAGTGTCTGCTGCTTGTCAGCTGACTAGCATTAGCACAGTGATGCAAGGGGAAATACTGGGAGCGGGTCAAGCCTTGCGCGTCTGGTCATCTGGTAAGAAACAACCTTTGCGGTGTCTATGAGAGTTTGAATGTAGCACTTAAGTTTTTATTTGGGGGGAGGCAAGAATTAACTCTTCTGAGCATGTTGACTTAGTTTAGCATGATTTGGCCGGGACACTTGTACATTTGGCTTCAAATTGATCATGCAAATTCTTTTTTCTTTTTTTCTTTTTTTTTCTTTTAAAAAAAAAACAACTTATGTAATAAATAACATTACATGACCTTGATATTTTTACCATGCAGAATCTTTATGGACTGCTGGGCAGTACTGCTTAGTCACTGCTTTATGCAGTGGTTCTTTGGTGTCTAAAATTATCACCTTCATGAGAGACCACTAGCTCTAGAGGTCATCACAGTGGGTTGAGGCCTACATGCTTGAAATTACATAGGGGATGATTTACATCAGGAAGACATTGTCTTGAAAATCCACATTACATTGCTTTATAAACGTGTCCTACAGTTAAAAAAACAAATTAAAAAAACACATTATGCCCGTTACATCACTAATCAGAAGAGTTTATAACGGTACACAAAAATCACGGTTCAGTATATACCTCAGTTTTGAAGTCAGGGTTCGGTATGTTTTCAGCACAGTATGGGTAAAAGAAACAAAACCTATTTCTTTTCTTGCCTCTTTATTAAAAAGTGGTTTACTGAACAAGGTATGACTGTCTTAAGTAAAAAAACATTAACAACTAAAGGTTCATGTGGTATTTTAGATTAGGATTGTGTAGTGTAGCCTCTACTGTGGATTGATGGATAACACCTCCAGGTCTCTGTGCAGTTTGGTTAATTGCTGTTTTTCAATTGCCCTGTGATGGACTGTCATTCTGGTCAGTTTCTCCCTTTCTTCATGCCCTGTGTTTAAATTGACAAAACATCACTAGATTTTGTGGGGGGGGGGGGAAAGATATATAGACCTACTTCAGTGTAAAATCATTGGCTGATGGATATAAATTGAACATTGAAATATACTAATCTCTCTGTCTCTCCTGTGTGTGTGTGTGGTATTTTTGATTGTTTGTTTTATCTTTTTTTGCCACAGAACTCTGGGATTGAAAGCTTGGTTGAGGAGCTTTGCTCCAAACTTAAGGATATCCAGAATAAACAGAAAGGTTTGTTTTTGTTTTGTATTGCTTATTTGTGGGCAGTATTAAAGCCAGTTAAATGGCGAAGTGATTGAAACTCATCAATTAAGCAAAGATTAGGAGGAGAGAATATTAACTGAAATCAGAATTTCCTCTTTAATTACTTTTTCTTTACAGAAGAAAAACAAACAAGCAAGAAATCTGACGGATCTCAATCTCCTGAGCTTGCTGAATCCCCTTCATCAAAAGATCAGGTGGAAATGTAAGCAATCAAAGGGCATTATAATAAACGGAGAAAGGGGAATGTATTTTTATTACAGTAATGGAGTTACTGGGCAGAAATGTAAAGGAAAATAATGTAAAACACTGCATACTACCTGCTCAGAGGATTGCCATTGCTTCATAGTATGTATATCCCATCTCAATATAATCACGATTATAAGGTGCATGCTCAATAATTACCAGGGGTTTACATGATGGACATAAGCATTTGTTTGGATGCCCGCTTTTTGGTAATATATTTACTTACACCCACAATTTGTTAGGCAGATTAGTAGTGCATGAAAAATATTAGAGGCGCGTATTGTGACGCCCAAAAGTTAGTAATCTGTAAAACATAAGGATATGCCACATGCTACTGTTTTGTTGTATCATGGAAGCGATACGCACTGAAATGGCGCTGACGAAAAGGATGGCACAGCAGCCATGACGTCTTTTAAAAGAGGAGATATTGTAGATAGATAAGGTAAAAAGATTTATTTTTTCCAATTTAAGTCTGACACGTGTATTAAATCTGAATTTATACAGATTACTAATTTTTGTACGTCACAATACGCCTCTAATATTTTAGCTGTGATACTAAACTGCATACCAAATTTGAGTTTAAGGCTTTTATTTTTGTTTTAATGGTGTTACTGACCATTTTTGAAGCTCGATAAAACCCTTAAAACGGAAAACACCATTCTTTTTTTTTTTTATGTTCTAAAAGGAAACCAAGGACTTTCAAATGATACAATGAAAGTGACAATATTTTTACTACCACTTATGATTCTGGGCCTATCAGTATAGAGAGAATTTATCTTAAGTTGAATACATGCTACAGGCTAAATAAATACAGTGGTACCTTAGAATGCGAACTTAATCCGTTCAGAACTCCGGATCGAATCCTAAAGAGTTTGAGTTCTGATCGAATTTTCCCCATAAGAAATAATGGAAAACCAACTAATTGGTTCCCGGTCGCAAAAAATTACACCTAAATATGTTTTTTTAGCATTTAAACACAAAATGAACTGGATAAAACAAGAGCATATACTGTATTAAACACATCTAAGCACATTTATAAAAACAGCAATTTGTAAAGTAAGAAAATAAATGTATCCAAACAATGTGTCCTGCCCCGATTGTCCGCTCCTTCCGTGTGCCACGCCCCCTCGTTAACCCCGTGTGGAATCCCCGTGTGATCAGCTGTTTCTGGTTGTTGTCATTAGTCCCTCTGTATTTACTCCGCGTTTCAGTTTGTTTTCCCAGTCCGGTCATTGTATTGTCCGTCTTCATTTTGCCTACCTTACCTGTAATTAAACTCCGTATTCCCCGATACCCTGACGTCTGCCCCTTTGTTTCCGTTCCATCCCCGTTCGGCACGACAATATTATTATAATTAAACATATTAATTGCTTATTAATATTAAAATAATAAGAAATCTTTATTTTTAAATGTATTTTATTATTATAATAATTACTGTTACTGTCTATCATTGTCTAAATGTATTTTTACTGTCTAAATATATGTATTCAGTTAGTGTAAACATGCACGGTGCTATCACAGCGAATGTGAGGCTGAGACTGAAGTGTTACCCTTTGTTTCTGCTGAGAGACGTGCCGCGTGACTCATTTCCCCACGCGTACAGGTTATCTTAGGTCGGCGTTCACGGTTTGAATTCTGAGATTCAGATCGAGCTCTGGGTAATTTTTTTTCTAACTGGTTGGTTCCACTTTTAAGAAATTTGAGTTTGAGAACTGAGGTACCACTGTACATATTTGGAATTAGGCTAAAGACTTGTATATCAACAGTTTTTCAGGTGCCTGGGTGTTACCATTGCAAAGATATAGGCATCTGAAAATGGTCAACCAAGCATTTTTGTGAATGAAGGAAAAATTTCATTGAATTTCAGGCCTAAACTATGTGAGCTAGGCCAGAGAAATTTTGGCTTTTTCATATTGGCCCAGGGGCAAACAGAATGCCACAAAATGGTTCAATTCGAGTGTGGACCATTTGAGTTGAGCCAGAATGGCCATGTAACAAGTGAAGCTGCTGGTAATGCTTGTATTTCTTTTTGTGTCAGGTACTATGAAGCCTTTCCTCCTCTGTCTGAGAAACCTGTTTGTCTTCAAGAGATTATGACGGTGTGGAACAAGGCCAAAGCATGTGCGTACTCCAGCTCGTCTTCATCTGCTGTCCCCCAGACGAGCACCGACACCTCCTCCCCAAAAGACTGCAACAGCGAAGGTGAAGCTGCCAAAGAGAAGACCACAGAGGCATGTGACACCATCGGTGAAAAGGCCCAGCAGCGACGCAGCAAAAAGGAAAAGGAGAATCGTTACTACTGGGGTGCAGCCGAAGAAAGAACTTTCTCAAGCAAGAGGCAGACAAAACATCGGTCTGAAGGAAAGTTTCGCCCACGCTCCTGGTCATCTGGGTCCAGTGAGGCAGGCTCTAGTTCCAGTGGGAACCAGGGTGAGTTCAGAACACCAGCCAAGTCAGTAAGAATCAGACACAAGTCCAGGGAGGCCAGCAGAAGCAAAAGGGGACGCAATGGACAGGTGAAGCTTTCACTAAAGGCCATTGAGAAAGAGGAACGAAAGAATTTGGGTGGAAGCAGCAGCAGTACTGGGGGTCTGACTAAACAACAACAGGCCATTAAAAAGGGGAAGAGGCAGCTGAAAGAGAGCCGAAAAGATCCTGCCAGTGGAGAAATGAAAGAGCCTGGCTGTGAGACGCGGAACAAGAAAGAGTACATGGAAGAGCCTCTGTGGTACACAGAACCTATTACAGAATATTTTGTACCCTGCAGTAGGAAGAGCAAGCTTGAGACTAAGTATCGTAACAGACTAGATTCCCCTGATGTTTTTTCTGGGTCGGCTGATATGGAACAGCTGTCTGAGAGAATGCAGGGAATCTACATCGGCAACTCCACCTTTCAGAGAGCGTACCTTGCAGCAGGCACTTTTATTGATGGGCACTTTGTAGAGATGCCTGCTGATGTTGAAGAGGCTGCTGAATTCAACGGGACCTCAAACTGCCCTCCACCAGAGGATAATAGAGATTTAGATGATGAGCATCTGTCTGAATTCACTCACTTCTATGAAGTTGACATTTATCAATCCATATTGGATCCTAGTGCCTCAGACTCCGTACAAGAGAGTCGGATTTTAAGCATGATCCGACAGAAGAGCAAAGAGCAAAGAGACTTTGAGGCAGAATGTTGTTTAGTGTTAGACGGCCCCAAGCTGCAAGGGGAAAGTGCAATAAGGACAGATTCGGAAAGATCTTTTGTTGCTGATGATTTCTTCACGCAAGATCTGGAAAACATAGCTCAAGTATGGGAATGTTATTCATCCTCTACTTCTGAAGATATTGATGGAGAAAGCTTCCAAGGGGACTCTCCCATTCATCTCTCCCCCGTACTCGATAGTGCAGTATTCAATGCGAGCCGGCTGCCTGAAACCCTGGAGGACTACATCTCAGAAGCAAAAGATGCTTCTGGTTTAAACTCTTGCTTTTCTCTCTTTGAGGTGCAATACAATAGTCCCACCCTTCATTTTCCCTGCGATTCACTTACCATTGGTCATGACAACACAGATTCAAGTAGCTGTCTAGATCCACTTGGATATAAACAGTCTCGTTTGCTAATATGGACCAAAAATAGTGCCTTTGATGAAACTGAACACTGTTCTAATCTTTCAACACGAACATGTAGTCCATGGTCTCATTCGGAAGAAACACGTTCAGATAATGAGCAAATTAACACTCAGCCAGAGGAGCCTGCTCAGTTTCGCAATGAAAAAACTAATTGTATAATCCCACCCATCCCTGCTAGATATATAGAAGATGAGCTCTTGGGCTTTTTACAAGAGGATAGTAGTAGCAAACCTGAGGAGTGTAGTGTAGGTCCTGTGTCCAGTCAAACCTTCAAAAAGAAATCCAAATTGGAGTCCATTTGTGGAATACCATTAGAGCAAGATGAGAGCAAACCACATAGTGCTGGCATTTTCACAGACGACACAAACAAACCGAGTGATAACTACAGCTCAGGGATAATCAAGGACATTTGGACAGCTATAGCAGACAGAGATTCCGTACCAGCTCTAGGAGGAAAAAGGTCAGATGAGGGCTTGTTCTCAGAGGAGGCAAACAACTATCATTGCTGCTGTTTAGATGCCGAGACGAAGGGAGTACCAGTTCAGGAGCCTCAGAAAAAGGCAGTGCAGCGATTGGAGTACCACCTCTGGGAGGGCCAAAAGGAGGAGCAGGGACTATCCAAAAATGAGCTGTCCAAGGTAGACGGTGGAGATTACACCTCACCGTCAAAGCCCTGGGACGTAAACCCTGAGAAAGACAATACGTTCATTCTGGGAGGGGTATATGGAGAGTTGAAGATGTTAGGCAGCAACGGGGACTGGGCAGTGGTACCACCCAGTGACACGCAAGGCAGTCTGCTGCAGTGTGCTGCCACCTCTGATGTGGTTACCATTGCAGGCACTGACGTGTTCATGAACACGGGCAGCTGCTTTGCACCTGGTCACAAACCTCTCTGGAGGCCCTTGGTTTCTTTTGGGCAGTGTGACCAGGTTGGAAAAGGAGGAGAGGATGGATTGAACAAGGGATTCTCTTTTATCTTCCATGAAGATTTACTAGGAACTTGTAGCGGCTTCCATGGGGAGGAACCAGGGCTTGATTACCCGTTCTCGTCCTTCGACCTGAACTACCCCTTCTCTCAAGTCCTTCACGTGGAGTGCTCCTTTGAGCCTGAAGACATGGCATCGTTCAGCCCGGGGTTCAAACCCAAATCCATATTATGCTCAGATTCAGAGAGTGAAACTTTCCAATCACGCATATATGGCATCAATAGAACCCAGTATCGGGCTATCCGTATCTCACCTAGGACTCATTTTCGCCCGATATCTGCTTCAGAGCTTTCTCCTGGGGGTGGGAGTGAGTCTGAGGTAGAGTCGGAGAAAGAGGAGATGAGCCTTCCTGTCCTCCCTCAGGCGGACGTGTTTGATGATGCTCAGGCTGATCTCAAACCGTTGGAGGAAGACGCCGAGTGCGAGGGCCCCTATTACGGGAAGTCGGAACTGGAATCTGGCAAGTTTTTACCCAGGTTGAAGAAGTCTGGTATGGAAAAGAGTGCCCAGACTTCTTTAGATTCTCAAGAGGGCACTGGCACCCTTCTGCCGATAGCTGAGCAAGACGTTTGCTTAGACTGCGAGACTGTGGTGCCAGTGGCAAGTGGGCAAGTTGAAGACTCTGTTGAAAAGATTGAAAAGGAAGAATCTTGCACCGAAAAGGATTCTTGCAGATGTCCAGTGGCTGGTAAAATTCCCCACTATGGGGAAGTCTTTGACTTTGTCGAAGACATTCAGAGGGTAAGAATTTAGTTTTTGAATGTGGGATTAACACTATCGCTGCTTGCAGAAGTTTATACTACACACTACTGCTGTGGGAAGGCTAGTCATAGCTATATTAGATGTTCATTATCTGGATTTTTCCATATTGATATATTCTGTATGATTTTGGTTTGGTGAATTTAAATGAACAAATATATTTTGCGAAGACTTCCCATCATTGAACATTAACAAAGGGACCTTTTGTTCATTTCAGAATAGTCCCATTATAGACCTCTAGAAAAAACTTCATTGTATTTCTTAAAGTTAGAATGATGCAGTGGTGTGAATATTTTGTGATGTTAATGTGGCAGTTTGCAGAAGCATCAATTGAGCCTACCCCAAATGGCTTGTAGTGACTGGGTTGTAGTTTGTAACGACTTGTCCTGCTCCTGGAGATCTACCTTGGGTGCGATCTTGATTTAACACTATTAATCTAATACAGATAAGTATTGGAGTCAGCTATGTTAAAGCTAAGTTGGCTCTAATACTGAGATACTGCTGAAGGGCCTGATTGTCTGTGCCAGGTGTGTTAATTCAGGGCTGCACCTAAGCTCTGCAGGGTGGTAGATCTCCAGGAGCAGGGTTGATGACCACTGCACTAGGGCTTTGTAAGAATGCATCCATAAAAAAAAGAACAGATCACCTGTGCTGACTGATGAAATGGTGTTTTTTTTTTCTCCCTTAATCTAAACAGATTTTAAGTATAGTGTTTGAGAATCTGGTTGCAAGGATTATCATTAGTGCCATTTAACTTTAAGAAAGTACAATGCTATTTTGATTTAATCAGAACCCTGTATTGTATTGAGTCATGTTACCATATATACCCTGAAATGTGTGCTAACTTTTATAATCATGTTGCTTAAATTTGTAGTGTACTCTGGTTTGTGGTATTCTCTTTTTCATTTATTAATTTGCTAGGCCATATTTTAGGGAAGCTACTATGATTAAAAATTGTTACTGTTCCTATCTAGGGGTTGTCATTGAGATTCTTTTCTCATGGATAAAGTATATTAGTCATTTATATGGATTTTCATGATGATTTTGGTTTAGTTTACTTTTTTCTAAGTATAACAATGTCATAGTGCTAGATTGTTTTGTTTACTTGTGAGCAGTGTCCTGTTAAAACAATCTACCACCTTAGGCCAGGGCATTTTGTTAGTGTATATGTGTTATAATTTGACGGATAATACTAAATGTTTCAGTATGTTACAGTCCCCTGTCTGAGTTATTTAAATTTGATGAGAGTTTCCCCCCCCCCCTCAGTTTCCCCTGCTAAGTATTGGTTCGCAGGGAAGCTCTGGCAGTCAGAAAGAGGAGTGCTGGTGGCAGAACACCCTGTGTACTCCTCTGCTCCCAGGATCTCGCTGTACAGGTAAGTACAGCGAAGCAAGCTGCCAGCCACTCTGTGGTTCTGTAGTCAGTTTTCCCATGAAATGCATCTTGATCCCTAAAACTTAAACTGTTGGTACAAGTTCCAGTGAGATGAAAAGGAAAACCATCCCTGCTGGGAGTGCATTCGTAGTTTCTGCATTTCACAGGAAGAGCAAAAGAATAACCGCTCATGTAAATGCAAGTTTGTCATGTGAATGCTGGTAAGAGAACATACTGTACAGCAAAGTTTAAATTATAAAACACATTTTTGGATCATAGTGGATCCTTAACTAGTTTGGCTCACAAATATATATTTAAGAAATACATCAGGCTTACCTTTCTGTTGTTCATTAGTGACAGTTTGGGTGAATTATCAGCTTTGAGCACTTAAATTTACTGAATGGCTGGTCATGGATGACTACACACATATTAGATTCTAGCTTTTTTTTAGTGTAATGTTCCCACCCCAAACCTCATGGCAAATAAGACCTACAACATTTAACGAGAATCAAAGTTTAGGGATGTCAGACATTTTTAAGGAATAATCTGTTATATACAAGTCAAATTAAAGAGAAAACATGGCGCAATAATATGCTAACTATTGAGGAGAATGTAGATCCTTTCTGGGTAAATATGGACATTTTTTATCCTGTTGTAGCCCATTGAATGGATTTTTTTTTCCCCCCTAATGCTGGATTTTACGCTTTTTGAACTTGTAGTAGAATTTAAGTCTGTTACCAAAGTCTTTACATTTCTACGGCAGAACTTCACTTAGTAATTTATGTTCATTGTGTATTCCCTCAAGTTGTATCTCCTGTTCCTCATGTTTAATATTAGTGATCAGAGTTAATGGTTTGCATACATGCATCTTGTCAGTCACCCATCCATGCAAGTTAATTGATATTCTGTGCTAATGGCTTATCAGCTAATAATTTGTAACCAAGTTCTGTGTTTTCCAGGGAGCAGCAACATGTAAGCTGCTCTGCTTCAGGAAGAGGAAGCCGGGGGCCAACCTGAAAGGCCCCCAGCTGTGGACCCAAACCCAGATAGGGCCTCTTTTGGACCCAGAAACCCCTAAACCGCCTACGCCATAAATCTTCTTCAGAACACATCTCCAACCCTGCTGGTTTTCAGTATATTGAAGCTAGTGTAATTTGAAAGAAAAAATGAAAAAATGGAACAAAAAGTATTCAAATTATGCAGCATTAGAAGAAAATTTTTAGTTCTGTTTTACTTTGTTTCTTCAATTAATCTTGATTAAAGTTTAAAAAAAAAAAAAAAACTTAGGCATTAGGGACAGTTACTTTTTCCGCATTGGTTTTCCCAGATTTTGCTTTTGAACTAGGATACTGGTAGTTGTGGTGTCCGAATGGTTGTGCATGTGCCCGTCTACTAGTCACACTGCTTCGTTTACTGTGTAACTGCTACAGTTTCCCATCTATGATAAGTGTGCAGAACAGCACACAGGAGCTGCCATCGTCATCCTTCATACCTGCCGCTCAGAAAAGGCCAGCTGCCAGCACTGTTTTAGCTAATGAGGCGGCAGCCTGTTCCTTCTAAACATTGCCTGCCTGAATAGCTGGCAGAAGGAAGTTTGTTTTTGCTGGAACTACACTGACCCATACAATATCCCCAGCAAAAAATATAAGAATTATTTTGAATATGGATGTTTCGCTGATGCTAGAGCCCTTTTATTTTTTCCTCACACTAATGTAGTAGTAGCCTTTAAGTTTGTGGTGGAGGATTGTAAATAATAAAAAAAGCAGCAAAAATATTCAGGGGAAACAAAATTAAAAACATTTTGCATACTAAACAAAAGATATAAGAAATTAGTTTGATTGGGAGAGAAATGATTCTTTATGGTAATTCTTGTTTCTGAACTTAATATTAAAAAGAAATTGGTGCTATAAGATACTTATTTGGGACAAACGACATCTGTAGCAGTTACAAATGGATATTGTGGCCGTGATTTTGTAGGTCATGTAGCTTTGTTTGTCGTTATTCCAGAGTGTGAGGATCAGTTAATACTACAAAAAGCAAGTTTTTAAAAAAAAAAAAGTGTGACTGCTGTAATGACTCGCTTTGTGTGGCTTGGTTTTCTTTAATATTATTTAAGCTACCAAATTTGCATATTTAAATGCCTCAAAACACAAGTACACAATTTCTTACATTTAAACAAGTAGCAACAAATTCAAACTGCCTGCCTGCAAAGAGATGGTTTTAAATTCCTATTGGATCTGTTCTACAGTGTCAAACATCACACGATATATGCTTCTTTTTTTTGGCAGCAAACCGACTGCAAAGGGCAACCAGAATATAGACACTAATACAAAACATATAAACTTTGTAGAACTAAATTTAAAATCCATTTCAAGGTAACATTCAATTTAAGTTCACCCAGAGCAAAAAAGATTTTTTTTTTTTGTTTTCTTTTTTCTTAGTATGCAAAATATTTTTAAGTGTGTATGTATGTGTCTTAATGTGTTGACACTGGTTCATCAGTAGTGTATGAGGCATCAAGTTCAAACAATTTGAATGTTTATTTGCATTGACATAAGTGTAAATCCATTCAAGCCGTAACCCTACTTCACATTAGTTTTAAAAAATGAGGTGTGGTAACTAATATATTTTATGGTCTGTGCTTGGGGAGTTGGGCCTTTATAGTCTGCACAGTCCACATCCATGTCCTGTACATTTTCATATGTTCTGTTCTCTTTAAAAATGGGTGAAAGTGTAAATTACATTTGTTCCTGGAAGACAATTTTGCATATTTCGAAACCAAAAAACGTTGAAAGGAAAAAATAAGTTGACATTATCCCTTTCACCCACCTCAAGTCCATATGTCCTGTAAGTCTCTGTTGTATAGTCCCAGAACTTAATCGGTCATAAATGTATGGTCACAGGCCAAAGTTGGCTTCCCTTCATTTAGAACATATTCTGTATTGAGCTGTACTCACCTTTTCAGAGAATAACAATGGAATTCAGTTTTACAAAAATATGCAGAAGGAGTTGATAGTAGTTTGGCCATTCAGTGATGGTGTGTGAGGCATTCCCTATGTTTGGAATTGTTGAATCAAACTTGGCAATTTTAGTTTAATGAAGGACATGACTTAAATGAAGGGAAAAGAATACTTCAGCCTATGACTGTACATTATTATAAGAAGCATTACTGTGATTGTAACACTCAATATTTTGTATTTTATTTATTGACAGGTTTCCTTTAAGGTAGCATGTGCTTTATCTCAAAGCTTTCTGATTTTGTGTATTGCACTTAAGGTTACCTTTTGGATCAGAAAGACTGCAAAGGAGTTGTGCTGACACACGGCCTCCTGCCTGGCTGTGATCAATGTGGCAGCGCATGCAATGGGGCAAAATGCAAAAGGATATATTGCAAACAGTGATCCACTCATATTATTTTGCATGAAGCTTATCTTTTGATTGGGGGGGGGGGGGGAAGGAGAAATGAAGGTTACGGAGTGTTTCAAATAGATGCCGCACGTCAGCGTTACACTCCGGCACCATTCAATTCTGTTAGAAAAAGTATATACTTTGAAAACAAAAGTTTTAAGTACAAATGACAAGAGGGTGTGGCAGTAATTGTTTAATTTTATTTTGTGTGTTTGAGAGTGTATTTTTGTGTGTGTGCATTCATGTGAGTGAAAGAGACCAAGTCACAAAGCACTTAAAGGGGTAATTTGAAGGAACGTTCATTCAGACATTTGTTTTCCCCCGTGTTTGGTTAAAATTTTGTGTAAACAGGTGGAGGAAACATGAAGTATGCATGATAAAGCATATTTAAAGGCTAACAGTTGAGATTTAACTACTCTGTGACCTGAACAACAGAACATACCCAGCACTGAGAATCTGAATTGTCCTTGTATCTCCATTCCTTCTTGGTAAACACCCCCAGCCCTTCCTTCTCCTCCCCTTGTTTCAAGTGGTTGTATAGTTCTCAGTTCATGTGTGCCCCAGAGTAAATGATTTTGTTTCATTGTGGAGTTTCTTAACATCTAATAAAGGAATAAACCAGTCAATCTCGGGTGTTCATTTGACTGACAAAACCTCTAAATGAATGAGTCTTGAGCATTTCACGAGAGAACATCAACGCTGCAATTGGAAAACTATTTGAAATAACTGTCGAAGTTGTGTTTTACATAAATTAAATTATAGGGAAGTATTCAATAAGGAAGACCGACCTCCAAGAGAAAAACGTTGAAAATGTCGTTTTGTTTTAAATTCAATTTCGGAAAATTTTAAAGTGTGACTATAAAACAGTTGAAATTTAAAAATTTCCTCTGTTTAGAATGGTTCTCATTCTAAACAGGGACTGGGACCGGTCATGTCCGAGTCAATCATTACTGTCAAGTGAGTTGCAGACTGAGCTTTAATCAAAACCTATTTCTAAATTACCCTGCGATTCTGAGCAGTATCGGCGGATGGTTGGACGAATGACTAGATCCAATCCCACGGTTCGTGGGGCTGCAGCCTGACCAAATGTCCCTTTTGTAAGAGTTGCGTCGTGCTGTAGCGTGCCTATACAAGGAGTTCGCCTGAATAGTAATGTATTTCCTGGTCAAATGCACTGAATTTTACACCTTTAATGCAGTAATACATTAAAATAGAAGCGATACAAGTATGTGAGAATAGATGGGCGCACTTATTAGGTTTATACAGTATTAAGTGCTCGTAATCGTATTAATGCACACAAAAATGAGAAGTTGGTAAGCAGGTGACTGCCAGACCACACAGCGCCACTTCAGTTATGCACCTCCAGAAGTAGCAGATTCCTGCTTCCTACGCTTGAGTTTCACTCAGTTTTATTTCCCACGAAAAAAGCAGCGCTCGTCTTTAGTTTATTTCGAGCGCTACGCCGGCGTCCGTCAGGTGAACCTGTCGGTTCCGGGTGTCTCCCGGCTTGATTGCGCTGCACTCCGGGACGGTGAGTTTAAAATGGCGACGGAGGCGGAGGAACAGGTAACGCTCATTTTATTCCTAAAAACGTAAACTTCTGCCGCGCCTCCTTGGTTGTGTTTTTAATTACCTGGGCGTCAATTACTCGCTGTGGCTTGAAATGCTGTACTTTTAACTGTAACCGAGACGTCGAGTGTACAGTAATAGCAATATTATCCCGTGGGTCCGAGCGCCAGCTAGCCTGTTAGCGACGCTGCTAAGTTGGTGTGTGAAGTGACACTTTGCGAAGGGCTGCAGGTTACTGCCGGCGGCATAATGCTGTCTGCGCCCCCCGCCCCTTTCAGCTTCCTATTGCCTGATAGTGGATACCGCGCTGGTGTCACTCAGCGGGAACGACGGAGCTCTTTTAACTGGCTCGTTTGTCTTTTTCCCGACGAAGCTGTGGTGACACTGGAGGCAACGCCGAGCGGCCGCTCGATATGGACCGATCGACGCGCCCGCTGGGTCCCATGGCGCTGGCAGGGCGCCCATAGCTCCAGCGACATGGCGCTCGCCCCCGACGGGGCCGAAGGTAAGGCCGCGGCTAGAGAGACGCGCGACCGCGGGGGCGAGCAACAGGTGGAGCAGGCGCCGCGTGGACGGCGCTCGCTCCGGCGACCGGACGCACCGGCGACCGCTTGTTGCGCTCCCCTCCAGGCTTATTAGTTGTCTACTTGTGCACATAAAGTTCTTTTGTTGTTCTATTTCATTTCGTTAAGTTAGTTTTGTAATCGAATAAAGTGAAGAGAAATTGCTTGACCTAAAACGGCAATAATAGTTTTTCAGACTAAACGCGTTATGTTAAACATCCTGAGGCACTAAGTTATATTTTTAGAATGGAAAAAGGGGATCTCAAAACGAGTATTGTTGTTGATGTGCTTGCTAACAGAGGAATTCCCCTAATTCAGCGTGGCACATAAGTACGCAAAAGTCCCAGCACATGCCATCTGTAAAGGCTGATAGACCGATTTCAGCAAATGTTGCCCATGACCACGCGTATTGGATTGTAATTGGTACGAAATTGAGTGCCACCTGAACCAGCTGATAATGTCTAATGGGGCGGATTTTCCAGTTTCTCCTCGCTCCTTATGCCGCAAGATAACAGGGGCTGTGGAAAACACGGTCTGCGACAATCTGCTTCTGTTTCGGTTCATATTTCTCATTCGTGCGCTAAATTACCAAATTACAGCTCGCGAATGCACGTACGCCTTGAATTATGGTTTGTGGGTCGGGCAGTGACTTGATTTTCTGCGAATCAGATCATTATTTGTGGTCGTGTTTTTATAGCGTTAAGTTTTACTGTAAATTGAGAGAAAGGAACGTTTTTGTTATCAGTCAGCTGTGTCTTGAAGATCCCGTGCCCTCCTTTAGTGCAGAACTGGCCCAGCAAGTCTGAAATGTCTGGTGATTGGGACACTGAGCAAGCATAATCCATACTGTTTTCAGAGAACTGCTTTAAGATTAGGAAATGCACTTTGAGGGGTGTGTGCACACGTGAGAGTTTGCACTTAGCAGAAACTGGGCGTGTTTATTCGGGCAGAGTCTGGGCTGGTGCGCTGAGTTACAACGGCATATGCATGTTAAGAGGGGGTCTCAGGACCAGTGTGCAAATTAGAGGAGGTGGACCAAGGTTCAGATGATGATTGCCAAGTGTCACACCACTGTCAAATAGGACTAGATGCCACAAGTTGCATTTTAAAACAGTTTAACACACTACTTGTTTTCAGTCTTTTTGTGGGTGTCAGTGGATTTTTTTAAAGCAGTAATTAGTGTACACTTGATTGAACTTGTGGGTAAGGAAGTTAGTGTTTTGCCCTGTGACTTTCTCATTGTAACGTGGTAATTGTTAAAGATTCAGTAATGGGGTCAGCTAAGTAATTTTGATGAATGATTGACTTGGTAAAACATCTATTTATAGCAGCAATATTTGTGGAAAATAACTTTGTGTGGGTTTTATGTTAATCCTCCCCATGTGTGTGGAAGGCTGTAAATCATTCAGGCCTTTAGGCACTTGTGTAAATGTGTGAAGTCAGGCACCGCTCTGGTTATAGAACCCATGACACTTTGAGTCACACACTTCCTTTCAGATCTGGGAGCAGAGGGTGGTCCCTCTTTCTTTTTGGGGTATTCTGCTTTTTGGCATGTGAAGCCTCTACACTGCTGCTTGCCATTTGCTGTGTGTTGGCACAAGTATTGTTCTTTAACTGAATTTGAACTAAAGACTAACTATGCTATGACCTTTCTTTTGTGTACGGCTGTTTCTTCTGGCGCAGGGCCATTTTTTTGTGGTGGAAACGCGTGGAACCAGTTCCGGATTGGGAAAAAGCCTGGCACTGACTGCAGTACCACGTTGGTGGAAATGAGGCAATAGTGAACATTCTCCTCTGTTTTGGGTTACATTAATGGCGTCCTTGTAAGGGAGACACATAGTTGTTTCACTGTAGAGTCCCGGCTGATCTGTAGTTTTGCTGTTTCAGATGTCGTCACTTTGTCTTTTCACACACATGATTGTGAAATGGAGATGCAGGCCTGTGCATGAGAAGACCTGGGAAGATGAGATGTCTCGCGTCTCAGGCCATAGTTATGCAGTCTTGGGTCTCTGAAGAGGCACCACATGCTCGTGCTGCACCAGCTGCGTTCACTTCCGCCTTTGTTCTTGCTGCCCCTTCATTGGGGCCCTTGTTAGAGGCTGCCTAGTTTTGTTTACAGATGCACCTCAAACTACCTTAATTCTTCCCAGTGGGTATTGGGCTGGTTCACGCATGAAAAAGCATTGAGAGGAACATAGTTAGGGAATCTCCTACATAGTCAAAAAAATGGTGATTTCCAAGTGCAATAAGCCCTTCTATGTTTATGTAGTCTTGTTTTTTTTTTTTTTTTTGATGTTTGTATGATTAGTTGTGTAGCCTTAGTCAATTGTGTTTAGCATCGAGTAAGTGTACTGGCAATGAAAATAGAAAAAATTGACACTGTAGCTACCTTCTGTGAAATGGGCCTTAATGGCTCATTCCTAGTGCCTAGTGGATGGTTACTCTTATGACTTATAGTCCATAATAATTTTCTGATGACTGTCTTCCTATGACAGGCTTTTCTGCTGCAACCTTGATGGCCAATGGCTCCATCACGGAGCAGAGCCCCACCGTGCTGATAGGTGTTTCCAGCATATTCCCGCTCATCCCCGGGCATCCAGATCAGCCCTGCTCCGTCCTGGCATCCAGCTTCCGGCCTTTTGCCGAAACACCAGAGGAGGATGGACAGAGTCTCACTTCCCAGGACTCTGGCATCCCAACACTGGAGATCAATGACCCAGAACCCTTCCGCTGTGTACGGCCCACTCTACATGAGGGCGTGGCACCCCGAGCTCGGGGCTCCGACGACGGCCCTGCCACCCTGACGCTGGAGCCAATGGACGACGGAGGGCTGCGCAAGTCCTCAACTTTCCCACGCAGCGGCTTCGACTCGGCACAACTGGCGAGCCCTGGGGTGCGCAGTGCCCTCCACCGCAGCGACGACATTTCCGTGTGCAGTGCGTCCAGTCTCAGCACCGAGCTGTCTGCCACTCTATCCGTCAGCCACGAGGACATGCTGGACTTCATGGTCACTTGTGACTCCAGTGCCATCGTCACGCTGGAGACCGACGAGGGCCATTTCTCCGAGGTGTCGCTCTCTTCTCCTGCAGTCCTCGGTGACTCCTGGAACCCATCACAGCACAACACAGTTGCCATGTCCCAGGAGGAAGGTCGACCCAGGAGGCTGGGGCCCCTTGCTAACTTCTTCAGCAGGTATGGGATTCCCGAGGCACCGCAGACACAGAAAGGTGCATGCAAACAGTCAACATTTTGCTCCTTCCCAGCTCGCAAACCAGAGAAAGTCTCTCAACCAAGCACACCTGAACTAAACAATCAAGAACAGACAAAACAATCAAGAATACCAGACTAACACAGTCTGGTATTCTTGATTGTTTTGTCTGTTCTTGATTGTTTAGTTCAGGTGTGCTTGGTTGAGACAACTTGAGAGACTAACGTGGAGGATTAGGGAAGCGTCAATCCGAGGTGCACAGGGGAGCAGTTGTTACTCTTGCACTGATTTTTTAATTATTTTTTTTTAACACAAGTTGGTCCATATTAATATGCGAGGCACGTCAGCAACACGTACACCAAATCCCACTAAGAGACGGACTTAAGGTTTTATGATTGTTGTTCCATCTATACTTTGCGCTCTCTGAAGCTTAGTACTCTACCTTCCATGGGTGGATTTTGTATGGTTTTTATAATCATGCATCATTCTGATGCGTGTGTCACTAATACAGGATTCACAGGCTGTGCATGTGCTGCCTTACACTTGATTCCTGAGCACACCTTGTTGCTCAGGTCCATTTATCTCGAACTGATGGTTGCTGATTCATGCCAAGCTGTCATTTTCTACATTAAAAGCACTGACATACCTCATATGCACCAGTCAGCACACCCTGTCATTTCTCAACATGCTGTGCCATGCGCCATGTTCTGATATTGTTGTGTAAGAGGTGGCTTGGGGCGCTTTTCCACCGCACCTGGTACCATAATTTTCGATTTTACTGTAACACTTCAAGAAAGTACCAAAAGTACGGTAATTCAAGGTTTTGGTTTTCCACTGATGTAAAAACTGGTACTGGTGCCAAATGACATCACAATGTGAGGTGAGGTATTTTATATCGATTTCGAAAAATGACTGTAGTATATTAACACTATACATCGCCCAGCCCTGTAATACCAACATTGCATGTTATATAGATGCAATTCTTACATCGCTAGTCAGCTAGATTACTATCAGGCTTTCTCTTACTTTCAATTCTGTATGGGCATTATAGAGCGGGGAATTTAAGTCTCACTGGAACATTACTCTGTCATAGAAAAAAAACCTTAGCTGGCTTTTGCAGGTTTAATTATTATTCCTTTTATATATTATCTCAAATCTCAGAGGTGTTTTCCTCTTCTGCTTTTGCATGAGTGCTGCATGCATTCTCAGAGACAATCATAATCAATTTCTTGTTCCTGTTATCCTTTGAAAGCTGTATAATTTCCTGGCCTTGTGTCTCTTGTTCTTATTTTGCCCAGTTGCACTTTGCATCTGAAGGTACACTGGGACCGGTCATGTCGGTCTCAAGCACTGAGAACTTTCTTGAATGACTTGCTTAACAGTATATACTCGTTTACCGGTTACTCATGTAAGGCTGGGTTTTTAACTGTTCAGGTTAGATGTCCTTTCTCAAGCTAACAACAGCAGCTCTTGCACCATCTCCTGGGCTGTAAAAACGCAGGGCTTTGGTCACAGGTCTGGTTTCTTAACCACAATGTTCCCCCATAGCAGGAAAGCCAGGTTGCCAAGCCTCTTAAAACAGGTGAATGCCCATACTGGCTCTGCGACTGTGTTTATATGTGTCCCTGGATAGAAGAACCTTTCTCAGACGTGCAAGTTCGCTGTTCTTCTGTATCAGGGCAGCCAGTGGATGTTATTTCATTAATTTAATTTTATTGTTTGGTTAGAACATAGTGGATTGCCCAAGCACTAGGTGAGCTGCAATACTCTGAGAATGACTTCTGCTGTATGTTGCAACTTCTTATGTTGCTTCTGAGGGTCTCAGGGCACTCCTGAGTTGCAGTGCTCCATTCACAGTGTTTTTCTTGTCTACTCTCTGCCCAGTGTCGAGTGCTTTCTTGGCAAGTTGGCAGTGTTCCATTGTCACTCTGCTCTGCCCCTTGCAGTTGGAAGTAGGCTGAATAAAACAGCTGTAATTATTACTGCCGTCAGCACGTTGGGCAAACTATCGTGGTCCTGGTTGCTACAGCATTGTGCAGGCTGTCAGCCTGGAGCACAAACCTTCCTCACTTAGTTATGCTCAGATGAGCTTCCACTGTGTGAAGGTCCTTCACCACAGAAAGAATCTCTGGTGGTTTCTCAGCGTTGAGAATGTTTGGCGAATTTGTGAAGATGCAGTGAAGAATTCTTGCACATTTCCTCCTCCACCTGTGACTTGACTTGACTTCAGAAAATTTCACCTCCTCATCTAAAGTGGCTGTTTTTAATGTTAATGTACGAGAGATGCCGTTCACTGTGGGATCTCCCATTAACTCTCATTTTCTCTCCTCCTGAACCCTTGTGTTTTTTCCTGGCTGTTGCTGTCTGACATTGTCAGTGCCCTCCAGTGTGAGTTTGTTCAAGGCTTTTGACACGCGTGTTTCTTTCAGGCCCTGCCCTTGATACCTCCCTTCTGACGCTTTCTCTTCATTCCCGTGACCCTCCCTCCTTTTCTTTTCTTTCTCCACTAATGCCTTTTCTTCTTGTTGTTTTCCTGCCCTTGGCTCAGGCTGTATTACTGCCTTTGAGCATATGTCCGTAACCTCTGTGTACTTGACACTTTTGTACAGGGTGACTGAGAGGAGCGAGAACGAAAGAAGTGTTGGGGTGGGATAGAAATTGCAGTTTTTTTTCTTTCTTTTTTTCATTGACAGCTTAGAACTGATATGGCTACCACAACGCTGCTCTTTCTTTATGACAGGTTAGTATGGTCTTATTCAGTGATGTACGGTGTATTTTCACTGTGTGCTTCTGTTGGCATTTTCAGCAACATTAGTTAGTTTGTCTCTGGTTAGGTGCTGAGTGTGCAAGATCTCTATTTGGAAAGTACTTTTCAGTTGGCATTTGAGGGCTAAAGTTATTACTCTTACCTCTCCTTTATGTATAGAAGGTTTTGTTTGCAAGATAGTCATGTCTTTGTGTGGGAAAGATTATTACCCCCTAACTTAAGCTTTGCTGGTACTCAGGACTGTTTTGGAATTTATATTCAAGATACTGAATCCTGTTAGTCCCTAAAGGCATCTTTGTAGCTCTGATACTCCCATCAGACCTCAGTCAAACCGAAATTGGGCTCATGGAGAAAGTTGAGATCCTGTCAAAAATACCTAAGAGCAAGAACAGCATTCAAAGATCTGCAGGGCTCCCCAAGTCGGGCCGAGGTCTGTGCGCAAAATCATTCAAGCCTCCTCATTTGTTTTTTGGTTTTTTTTATATATACTAGCATAAAATTGTACAGAGGGAACGCTTTTCCCTTTTTTATGTACTGTAAGACCTGTAATGTTGAATGACCTTAAAGTGATCATCAAAGAAATGTAGATAATGTAAGGTAAACCCACTGACTGTGGTGCCAGGTTAGTTCATCCTCCATGGCAGTGGTGTTGCAACACTGATGCAAACCAGATTTCACATCAGGAAATGAGTAATAAGAAGGAGATGTGAACTTTTGCACTGGGCACATTGTTGACTCCTTGATGGAGATGGGCCTGCATTGTGCTGCCCTCCACACTTTTTGAAAAGGTTCCTCTCGGTTTGTGCAATGCGCTTGGGGTTATTGCAGGTCAGAGGTGTGCACTTTAACTATGCAGCTTGTGCTGACTGTGATGCGATGCCTACCTGTGGTTGACTGTCCTCTCCTTTTCTTTTGTGTTGCGCGATCACTTACTGGTGATAGTTGAGGAACAGGACTGATGGCTGATGCACAAGTTCATAGTGAATTGCAAATGGCTCAGCGGTGACCATCACATGTGAACATGTTTGCATAATAATAGTCAAGGTATCAGTAATTACTTAATTACTAATTATTAATATCCTTCCCTTTTTTTCTTTTATTACTGCATAACCAGTACAGGGCCACAGTGAGTCTGAAGCCTGTTACAGGACATGCTGCATGTGAGGCAGGAGAATGCTGGAGGTGTCATTCTGTTGCTGGCCACACATGTGCCACCTCAAACTATCTCGCACACAAGGGTAGCTTGGAGAGATTTGTTTTGCCTTGTGCTGGGAAACCTGAGTACCTGCAGGACAGCTGTGCAGATGCATGGTGCACATGCAAAACCCTTGAGAGGAGGTGTGCGGCTGCAGGGCTGCTCACAGAGTTACTGCGTTAATTTCCCTTTTTATACGTACAAAGTCTGACGTCTGAGTATTCGACCGCCTGTATTAGCAGTTTGTTCAGGTTCAGGGCTCAGGGTTTGTGTTGGGATGTGAAAGCAGCTGCTGGAGCAGAGGTAAAATTGCATATGCTCACACTGCCCTACCCCCCCTCACACTCTCTCCGTGCAGCGCTGTGTGGGTATTGAAGTCCTGCTCAGGAACTTGGATAATGTTGGGTGACATAGTGTGATATCCAGTGAGAGGAGGAAATGAGTAGCTTATAAAAGTGAGGGGGGTGGGTGCTTCATTTGTGTAATAAATCATGAACCAAGCCGGACAAAGGCAAGAATGTTTACTACCTCTATAAATGGAGAGTATCAAAAGCAAATGTTTAACCTGGGTTGAGCAAGAAAACTTCTCTAAATAATTGCAATTAAATCTGTAAGCTAAATCGGTCAGTACTCTCTGCCACTGAAGTGGGCAGTAATGACTTGAGCGTGACGTGCCTGTTTGAGCCTACGGTGCCCCGGCCTGCAGTTGGCCGGGTTCCACACAGCTGTTTTTAAGCACCTCGCCTGGCCGTCTTTGTCACGTGCGCCTGCCTGACCTTGGAGGCTGCGGCGCCTGCACTAACCCCACCCCTTCCTCCGGGCAGGAGCCTGTTTGCCCGCAAGGGGAAGGAGCCCAGGCCGCTGTCACAGAGAGAGCCCGGCTGGAAGCTGTTTGGGAAGGTGCCGCTGCGAGAGGGCTCTGCCAAGGACCCCCGGAGGATCCAGAAGGTACACCAAGGAGGGGTACGCCTAGAGAAACACGCCGACAAGAGTCCCGCCACACTCTCTCTCTCTCTCTCTCTCTCTCTCTCTCCTCTTTCACTCTCACATGAGCAAGTGTGTGTGTGTGTGTGTGTGTGTGTGTGTGTGTGTGATTGTCACCTCAAATAGCCTAGTGCAGCTCACAGTGAGTGTTGCATTAGCTGGGATTAACACACGCCTTAAGGTGTCGTTAGAGGAAGTAACATGCTTCTGCACCCTCGTGGGTCTACATGCAGCTCTGGTGGATGCCTGGGACTTCCCAGGACGACCCCCCCCCACCCCCCCACGATGGGCAGCTGTCGAATGGGTCTCGCTCAGGGAGCAGATCCTCCCCAGGCAGCCAGTCAGCACGCATCGGCCTCTTGGGAAGGTTTAGCAAAGCTTAAAGCTCTCAGCAACGCAGCCCCCAGCTCTATAGCTCCGTCTGCAAGACAGAGCCGTGTCATTGAAAGCCGATGCTGCCACCTACATACCGCAGGTGGAAACCCAATACCCGCCGGCTGTGTATGTGCCCCCCCCCCGCCTTAGTTTCCTACAGTAACAAGGTTCGTCACTTGGTGTGGCTGGGAGGCGGGGCCGGGAGGCGGGGCTGAGGGGTGGGGCTGGGAGGCGGGGCTGGGAGGCGGGGCCGGGAGGCGGGGCTGAGGGGCGGGGCTGGGAGGCGGGGCTGACCCGGCTCACGTAGCTTGTCTGAGAGCCCTTTGTCATCCCCTAGCAACGCTTTGCAGGCGGCCACCAGAGGCACGGCCTGGGCAACACAAAACGCTCCCTCATGCTGCTTACGTGACATAGTACTGGGCCCGTGTATTATGGACTGATTATTTTTTCCCTTTTATGTCTCTAAATCAAATACTTTGTTGCACTTCTTGTTTGTTACTTTGGTTCTGGTTTAGAAGACCATCACCCCAGATAGCTGCTGACACTTAAAATGTGGTTTGTACCTGTCACCTGAGCGACTGCCCCTCACCAAGATGAGAGGGGGAGATTAAGCTCAGGGTGACATCACTGGATTAATGGCTCTGGGGGCAGGGGGGGGGTAGGCAGGCTAATTCAGGGTGAACAGATTCTTGTGGAACTAGATGCGAGGCATTACTAGTCGAGGTAGGAGAGAATAGATTGGGGTTGGATGCCCCTCCTCCACCTGCCTCTGCTCTTGCTCTCTGCCGCTGATTAGTCAGCCTGAGCTCCTTCCCATTGCAGTGACGGCGAGTAGCGTAGCCTGGCGGCGCTGATTCGTGGGCCGCGGGAGGGAGGAGGCGGGGGAGGGGGAGAGGAAGAGAGCAAACAAATACAAGGAGAGTGACGGGGGAGACGGGGACGGCACTGGGCAGCACACACACGCAGACGCACGCAGACACACGCAGACATACGCAGACCAAGGCCGGGCCGGGCCCCACGCGCGTCCTGCCGTGCCATGCTGCTCGGGCTGCGTCCCGTCCCCCGGCTGCGCAGGCCTCTTGTCGTCCTCGTTCTCCTCGGCAGCAGCAGCACCGGCGACTCCTCATCCCTTCCCAAGCCGCCCCCCCCCCCTCGCAGGCGCATGGCGGCCATGTCCGCGGCAGCAGGTATTTGAGCGGCGGACCTGGGCGTCTGAGAGGAAGGGCAGCGTTCATGGTGAGCGAACAATTCACACACCACCCCCTCAGTTGGTGCGGGCTGCTGCCTCTCTCTCTCCTCCCTTTCTCTCCGCCTCCCTCGATCGCTCGCTCGCTCTCTCTCTCTCTCTCTCTCTCTCTCCTGGTTCTATTCATGTCATGGAGAGAATAATTGTAGTCCTCCTTTGCATGGGCTCCTTTGGGGGGATTTTTGCGTGACCCTCCTGATGGCCGTGGTTTCGTCTCCGCCGTCCCCTTTGTGAATGGACTTGTTCGGTTGACGTGCCCAGTCAGAATGTCACTGCTGCATTTTGGAGTTCAGACAGTGTTGGGGTTCGGCTTTTAGAAATGAACTTTTCTGTTTACTTAGCCTTCTTGTATTATGTTGTCATGTTGTCCTGCCGTTGTCGGGACAGAAGGGCGTGTATACCGGTAAATGCTCAATGAGCCGTGGAGCTGCTCTACTGTGGGGAGCTGCCTCCTTTCTTTTGGCAGCGATATTAGGGAAGACAGACCCCTTGATTGGGGGTTTTACCTATGAATATGCTCATTTACCCCCACCTGTGCGAAACCCTCATGTGCCTCGCTTCCTCCATAATGATGGATGGATGTGCCGGGATTCGTCTAGCTCGTCTGCGAATGTGCTGCCCTTAAGCTCGCCCGACGCCCCTGAAGTGCGACCCGTGCCTGTCTCTGCCCCGACACAAGCCCTCCCATCTGAGTCTGCACTGGAATGTTTGGGGGGGGGGGGTATTTATAAAGGCTAGGCCCTCGAGCCCGTCCCATGCAACATAAGGAAGGGGTCCACCCCTGTTGTCATGCCAATCCCTCCCAGGGCATGTATATGCTGAGCCACGTGTACCTGGAGTACGGTGACTGTGGCAGAATCTTTAGTTCTCAAAATCGGCTCAGATTTTAGAGGGACTGAACCTGAAACCACAAATCCTTCTGGGTAAAGGCATTGTCTAAGCGGTTAAATGACATAATTAATATCCTCCCACAGAAAGCCAGTCTATATGTAGTCTTATGGGATTTTATTAACCCCCCCCCCCATCGAACAAGAATGGGTCTGTGGATGACGGCAGCGTCTCTGCTCCCTGGTTGAGGTCCAGTCGTCACCGTCAGCGCATACATCAGGCAGGAAGGAACCAGCCATACCCCCGTGTGGGGGGGAGTTACCTGTGTAAAAGCAGGTCACTTACCCTTCTGCTCGTTTGCCAAAGCCTTGATGGCCCAGTAATGGTGTAGAGCCCTATTCTCCCAGACACCGAATACATGCTACCTGCTGTCTGCTGGAGCTGCTGAACCAGCATCTGACAGGTGAAATGTGACATTTAAGGTCTTTAGTCTTCAGGCTGCTAGGAGATTTGACCAAAGGTGGTGCACTTATTTATAAATGTGGATGTTTATTATAGCAGCTGAGGTTGTGTCCTGGGGGAGATGCAGGGAAATTCCACATCCAGATCCTGCTTTCTTTCTGTGCTCCCAGGCACGTCCAGACCTGCAGCATTTATTTTAATTTTCATTTTGACAGCTCCTGTAAATCGAATGGGGCAGGGCTCCCCCTGTTGGTGACCTAGGTGACCTACAGCTAAAAGGCTCATGGGAAGTGACCTAAACTGACCCCTGCCGGGAGATCCCACCTCCTCACATGCCTGTCTGTCCTGGCCTCTGCCATAGCTGGAGGTCACATGGCTGATGACGCGGCAGGCCTTGATCGCTTGGTATGGTCCAGGCCATGTACATGTTTATCACATATAGTGCCGTGTCCCGCTAGTCAGATAACCATCACATCCTTAGGCCTCAGCATGGACTGCAATGAGCCTCTTTAATAAGACTATGAATGGTCACCCCAGTCCCTTAGGTGTGTGTGAGGGAAAGAACAGGGCAGACCACAAGCTGAGCGATCAGAGCACAGAGTGAGTTCATTATGTGAGTCCATTAATGTCGTGTTGCCATCTGTTCTATAAACAGTATCTTTGCAGGGTTTGCAGATTACAGAAGATTGGTCCATGTCAGATTCCGCAAATACAAACCATTTTACGCAAAGTACAACTTTTTCTGGAACCAGTTCTTCTTCCACAGCCATGTTTGTTTTTTAGCTAACTGGTTAAAATGATCAATAAAGTTTTTAGTTCAAGGTCTAGTCACTAAGGTGAGATCCACTGTTGCCAGATTATTGACAACAAAGTGAGATATACAGACAGAGCTGAGATGCTATGCAGGCTGGAATTGCCGTGTTTCACATCGGTCAGTTTTTGTTGCTGTACTGTTGCAGCCTGCAAACACACAGCCGTTGCGTGATAGGCACTCGCTGTTTTATTCCTGCTGTCATAATAGTGCATTTTTAGTTGCCCGTTCACTTGAAATTCAGCCGAGTCGACGACTCAGCAGCATGTATGTTTGCAATGTGCTATTTGACTTGTGTGTCGCTTTGGACAAAAGCGTCTGCTAAATTAATGTAAATGTGTGCTGTATTGTGATTGTCACGATATCTCTGCAATGTGCATCAGGGATACAATTGTAACCAGTTAACGTAACATATAACCACATCGGCCACCACCAGTTAGTACATTTCTTGTAGAAAAATCGATCTCAAAGTATTTGGCCTTGTATGCTATGAGGTTAGTTAGCACTGCGTTCGTTTGCTTTGTTCGCTTTCTAACAGTTTAGTCTTGACTGTAGTGCATTCATAGCCACTTCCTCTTTCTGTGTTTGTTCTGTCATGGAGGGGAGTAAAAGTCTTCCTGGTTCTGTCTTGTCTGCTTGTCTGTGTGCCAGTGACGGCCCCATCGGCTCTCCTACCATGACTGGCAGCGACTTGCATCAGGGCCCATCCTGTAGAAAAGGTCGATGGTCATTTTGTGAAATGGGGAGAACCAAGGAATCACGAGATCTTTGGCAGAGCTATTTTTTTGGCTGAAATCAGGGCCCGCAGATCCGCTCCGCTTTTATCATACAACAGGTTCTTTTAATTCCTGTTGGCCTTTATCCATTAATGCTTTTTCACAGCAGGTCATTTTACTAAAGGAAAAACTTGAGCTTAAAAGTAGACTGTGCTTATACAGTGTGGGGAAGCAGGAAAAGCTTTAAAAAGCAAGTGTAAGGGTCTTATTTAAAAAGCGTCACAGAAAGGGTTCATGTGGCCCAGAAGTGCAGCTTCGACTGCATTCTAATTTCTCCTTGATTTGACATCCTGTTTTAGGCAGACATTTGGAATGTTTTAAATGGTGTCCCGCAGGAATATGAAACGAGAAAGGGGCGCCCCGGCAACCCCCCCTCTCCGAGGCAGAACGTGAGGAAGAACCTGGACTTCGAGCCACTCTCCACCACAGCGCTGATCCTGGAGGACCGTCCAGCGTGAGTCCCGCCCTCAGTCTGGCCTTTCTGTGCCGCGTCGCCATTGCTACCAGAGGGTGCCTTGTGGTGGGGGGGGGGTATGGCGCTTAATCCTCAGTCTCTCTGCTGCCTTGAGTTTGTCAGCATGCTGCCCTGTACGTTCATAACGGAATTTGGCCTGTTTCCACGGCACTCTAATCCCCCTCACTCCCCCCTTCCTTGTCTTTATTTACTTCATATGTATACATGTATTGTTTCTGGTTAGGGAATTGTAATCCACTTCACCCGGCCCCCCCACTTCGGGGGCCTTGGAAGTGTCGCTTTGGCTCCTTTAACTGCTCCCCCCCACCCCCGCACCCGACACTGCTGGCTGCACTGCGGCGATAATGCAGCGGAGCGTATAGCCTGTGAGTGCGGGGAGCGTATAGCCTGTGAGTGCGGGGAGCGTATAGCCTGTGAGTGCGGGGAGCGT